TTTTGAATTCAGTTTATTTTATTTCTGTTTAAAATAAACAAGACAGTTTTTCTGTGAGGGAGAAAGAAAGAAAAAGAAACCAGAAGACTGACAAAGCACCTGAGGATCCACAGCCAGGACACAGTCAAAGGGGGTGAAGCAAATATACAAGATGGATAAGGCAACTGTCCTAAGAATTTCCATGAGTTTTTTGAAAATAGCAGTTAATGGATAGAATTCTCACCTTGACTCTATGCTAATATCTGTGAAGTAAACAACTACATTGAGAACAGCAATGTGCAATACTAAAACCATGCTTAGTCTTGTAAATGTGTACTGTTTCTAATGTCATATTAATTATTATTATACTCTCTTTAAAGTACATGTGTTTTTAAAAACAGTAATAAAAGAAAATAAGAGACAAGAACAAAAATTTAAGTTTTCTTGAAAGCATGTGGTAATATTCAATCATGTCCCATCTTGCATAACTATATGTTAATCTGAGCGACAGATTTGATAATGAAAATAGATAATATATCAATTTTTTTTTTTGAACCAGAGATTGAGTGTTTATTCCACTGAGCCATCTCCCCAACCCTCTTTTTTTTTTTTTTTTTTTTTGGCAAAACCAGGGATTGAACTCAGGCCCTTGTGCTTCCCAGGGCCCCATCAATCATTGTTAATCAGCTTTTCTTGTTTTGACAATCTGTAACGTATGTATTGTTATGTTACCCTGTTTCTGTCTTTGCTTTTGTTTTTCTTGCTCTTGTTTTACTCTTCAAAATAAAAGAAAATTATAATTGAAAAATTCAGAGAAGAGAAAAAGCCAACAGACAGTAGTAGATGATTGGATTTGGAGGGAGAGCTATGATTCCTTTTCTTCCTTTCTTCCTTCTCCCCTCCCCTCCCCCCTTTTTTTTTTTCTTTGCAAAAATAAGATCATTGGTTGCTGTTTGGGCAACAGATTTAGGAGACCCAAGGAAAGACAGATAGGAAGCCTAAAATTCAGAATTGTTAAACGTGGTTTCTTTCTGCATTAGATTACAAGTCAGGTAAATAGACCACTGAGAATCAACAGGAACGTGAATGTCTTTACCTGGGCAAAACTGATCTCTTTTATGACACAGTGTTTGCTGTCTGCTCTCCCTTTAGCCAAGTAGGCTTTTCCAAAGTAGGAATTTCCTTCCCCAATGACCTTAATCACATCAAACTTGTCCATGGTCTCCAGCGCTGAGGTTCCTAGGATTAGAGGACCTTATTACTGCACGCTTCTCATTACAACCAACAGTCTGAAAACTGACTAGAAAGCGAAAATTCAATCTGCTAAAACTTCTCTTCCGGTCTGGCCAACACAGAGTCAAAGAAGGTCCTTGTCAGGGCAGGTACTAATCAGAGGGTCAGCCTGGGGGACTAAGGGCCGTACGCCAGTTTGACTCGCGAGAGCAGGGGAGCCCACACACAGACCTCACAAAATCCCAGCATCCTAAAAGAGAAATACCAATACTGCTGGCCAGTGTGTTCAGAGAAGGCAATTTATTACACCGCGGTTGCCTGGCAGCTCCTGCCCTCACACCTGCGTGCGCTCACAGTCCAGCCCTCCTCCGTGGGGAAGTAACTGGTCTCTAAACAGCAGTCTGGAACACAGGCAGGGTTTCCAGTTCTCCCCACAGACTGAGTCATTGCAGGATTTAGAGGCGGTTAAGGTCTGGCCCTCCACGTCTTCCAGGGGGAGGCCGGTCCCATACACAGGAAAAAACTATCCTCTCGCCCCCCACAACGCAGGAAAGTCACCCCATGCGTTTTCATGTGTGGAAGAATCCTCTTGTAAATACCTGTGGCTGCGACTAAATTCTATTTTATACCTAGAGACAAATCCTCCACCCCAACTGATTTTCCTAGGAATGCAACTACTTGTCAATCAAGCTGCACTCCAGAGCTTTAACAAAAGACCAGGTCCCTGTACCCTGTAACCCCAGCACTTTGCAAGGCTGAGGCAGGGGGATTGCTGTGAGTTTGAAGCCATCCCCACTACAAAGTGAGTTCAAGGCCAGCCTGAGCTACATGGCTAGAACCTTTCTCAAAAACAAAAACAAAAACAAAAACTTTAACAAGAATTGTTCACCAGTTTGAGAAATCATGCCGGCTCCTGGCCGACCTGCTGGTATCAGGCTCCATTGGCGACCACCACTTTCAAGTGCCCAAACGGGCATCTGGCAACTTAAGGCTTCCTCCATCTAGTAGGGCCAAATATTTACGGATGAAAATACACGCTTTATTACCAGGTGTCTTTTATTTCCCTTGTATGCTAACTTTAGGCCATAGGAAAAGGTTTTAAAAAACTTGAGCGAGCAAGCAACTTGCTTTCGAAAGCTTTCACATCAGGGTAAAAAAGTGGGTACCACTGGTTTGCAGGGGAGGCTATGGGCACCAGAAGACCCAATTGTGAGCGAGGCCAGCGGAACTCTCCTGCCCAGAACTGAGTGCGTAGCACCCACCAGGTGGCATCAGGCAGTGCAGCTTGCGACTCCAGCGGCGGCATGCGCGTTGCCATGGAGATCGAGGTGGCCTAGGACGCCAGGGAGCTCCCTGCCACCCAGGGCCCCTCCACCCGTAACCCACCCTTTTGCTCGGCGCTCCCGGAGCCCTAATGCAGCTCCGGGTGAGAATTAAAAGCCGTCAGCCTGCACCATAAACTGTCCCTGGAGGCCAGAAGAGTCGGTTTCCCTGGGCAGTTGAGTCTGGGTGCTCAAGAGGCTGAGCCCAGCGAAGGGACCTGGGGGTGCGCCGGGCGGGAGGGGGGTGGGTCCACTATCTCCTTCCAAGAGGGCGGTGGGCAGAGATCGCTTGTCTCCCGTGGCCTTAGGTTAGGACTCCATGGCACACTACCAAACAGCACGCCACAGCCCTCTACCTACGTGACTTCATGAGCCTTTTTCCTCTATTCTTTACAACTTTCCAAGGAATTAGACTCCTAGTTTTATAAATAGCTAGGCAGAGACTGGAAGCATATTCCTTGTGCAGACGATGCTGAGGATCAAACCAGGACTTTCACGCAAGCCTACCTCAAGTTCCACGGTGAGCTATGCCAGGAGAAGGAGGAAGGGGGAGGAGGGGGAAGGGGAGGGGGACGGGGCGATCTTCTGCTGCGAGGTCCCCGAACCTGGAACTGCTTTGGTGGCGACGACGCAAGCTTTCCCCTGGGCCCTCCTACAAAACTGGCCGCCGGCCAAGTGGGCTGTGAACACGCCCCACCACTCCCCATTGACCCTGACCCTGTCCATCTGGCCGGTGTTTCCTTATACATGCAGGGAGCTGAAAAGTAAGCGACTCTACGCAGTGCCAAAGAAACGGACCCAAAAGCAGCACAGCACTGTCACACCCAACGCAACGATATCTCCTTTGATGCCCACAATTGTCAGCTTCACTTTCTAAAAACCCTTTAAGAATCAGAAAGTGTGCAGTAGTATTTTCTCTCCTTGAAATCAAGCCTCCAGACAATTCCCTGAATTTTATCCTAATTTAATCTTCTTCATACCTGAGTCACTGATGACCCTAACATATTGCTCTGATAGATTATAGATACATATCCGTACCTATATATAGATATATCCTTATTTCCTCAATAGGTGTGATCCCTTGTGTCCTGTCCCTCACCCCCAGGAGAATAATCACAGCCCGTTCCTAGGAACAACGCCTACTCTGCTAGAACAGACATGCAGGCCCACCTTGTAGATCACAGCCCCTTGCTATTGCCACTACTCAGCCATTCCTGCTTCCAGTCTCACTCCCATCGCCCCACTAAGCCCATCCCACTACCCCTACCCCCATCTATAAAAGACCCAGCTCAGTGACTTGGACTCAGCCTCTCCTTTGGGGTTACTCCAGGAGGTCCTGCCCAGAACCCCCAAATTCAGGCTGTGTCCTTTCCTGGATTTCACTGCTTACCTAACATCCCTGATCATAGAACCTTATTTTTCTAGACTGAAAATGTAAACACTAGTAATACACAACTGATCAAAACAAAATATATCACAATATTGACAAATATTTAAGTATCAAAGTGGAATTAGTTTGGATATTCATTACTAAAAGATGTAGATGGGCTCCCTCTGCCTCACTAGTTCATGGAGCCATGGGTGGATGTCAACTCTTTGCTAGAATAAGGTTCAACACTGATTCTATTTTTCTTTTATCCAAATAATAGGGTTAGGACTTTTGTTAAAAGTGTCCTTCAATTTTTCTCTAGTTTTATGTTAAGAATCATACAGTACTATAGTACATAAAAAAATGGGTTTACACTTACCTGATAATTACAGAGTTACCTGAAATTTTATTAAAAACAAAACTTTGGAAAGCATCTGATTTTCAAAAGAATTTTTTCTTCCAATGCTGGGCATGGAACCCAGACCTTGAGCATCTAGACAAGCATTCTACCATTGAACTACATCCCCAGCCTCTGGAGGACTTATTTACAAGATTCACTGAAACTCTTAATAATAATGCATAACATCATTCCAAGATCCCTTTGTTTCATGGCTTGGAAATATTCATACCTTGGGAATAATATTTATACCTTGGCTTGGAAATATTTATACCTTGGTGGTGGTTTAGTTTTTGTTTCTGAAGACAGTGTTTCCTTCTGTACTCTAGGCTGGTCTTGAGCTTCAGACCCTCCTGCCTCAGCCTCCAGAGTGCTAGGAATGGAGGTGTGTGCCCCTGTGCCCAGCTAGAACCATCTTTTAGTGCCAGGAAGGCAGTGTTCAGCCAGGCCTGGTGGTGCATACCTGTAATTCTAGCACTTGGGAGGCTGAGAGAGGCCTGTGCAGTGAGGTGAATATTCTCATTTCACTGAAGTATTACAGTATTAAATGAAGACCCAACATGTGTGCCCTTACACAGTGACCGCAAAATGCTGGGGACCTCCATTTATTCCACACCACTTTGCTTCCTGCCAGTGGACCCTTGGTGGCCTCGCTTTTCCTCTAGTGCAGACCTGGCTGCTGTCTCTGACAAGATCTAGAGCTGCCCCATCTTGCCATGGGGCGCCTCTGACCCAGGCTCTTGCACGCCTACAAAAGCCGTACTTCACAACAGCTAGGAACTGTTCCAGATCACTGGAAATGACCTAGGGCTCACAGGAACTGCAGTGTCATGTTATTTAACACACACCCCCTCAAATCCCTACAAGTATAAAGTGTTATGTAGTAATAAATACAAATCCTAGCTGACTGGTGACCATGTCCCCAGAAGGTAGGCATTATAAAGTCTCACTTTATAGATGAAGTCAGGTCCTACAATCACATAGTGAGTGACAAAGCTAGCATCTAATCTCTGATCTACTGGACTGTAAAGCCTGAAGCTCATACTCTGCTGAACCTTCTCCATTGTTCTAAAATATATCTCATAGGAATTACAGATTTTTGTTTGTTTGTTTGAGACAGAATCTCAATGTGTTCAGGCTGGCTTTGAACTCACAGCAGTCCTCCTTCCTCAGTCTCCTAAGTGAATGGATTACAGGCATGCACCACCACGTCCATCTAGGAGTTCTAAAGTTTTAAAAGCTCTGTCATGTAAGTGAGGAACAATTTTAAATATTAAATGTTGCTCCATCTTCCCTCTGCTTCCAAACATGAATTCCTCATTTGAAATGTCTTCCCCGCATGACGAAGGCGCTATCCATCACACGAGCCTTGCCATCCAACTCGCTCCTTCAGTTCTGACACCCAGTCGTGGCTGCTGCCATCATCCTCAAAGTCCCTGTGAAAAAACATTTTGGATGGTAAGTCTCTATATTTGGAGCACAACAGGTATTTCTTGATAGATTCTAAGAAAACCATTATCAAAACCACTTAAAGGTTTGAAAAAATAAGTTGTACAAGGCAGCTAACAGAGAGAACATTCTTGCAAAGTTTTTCTAAAAGTTCACTTATGTCCATGCCTGTAATCCCAGCACTTGGGAGGCTGAGGCAGGAGGATCAGCATGGGTTTTGAGGCCAGCCTGGGCTACACAATAAGTCTAAAGCCAGCCTGGGTTACATAGTGAGACCCTCTCTCAAAAAGAAAGAAAACAATGTTCATTTATTTCACTATTTCTAAATAGTTTTTAGTGTAAAATGCAATACAGTAAAAAACCCTGAAATTATGGTGTTATAATATAGCACATCCACCCAAACACAGCCCAATTAAGCTTTCTAGGTAGATCACAACATACGTGTCCTCCTCATCCAGCCGAGGTTCAAGTCTCTCAGGATCCAAAATTACAGAACCCTCATCACCATCGACACTGTCTGATGCTTCTGTTTCTTCAGACAAAGGGCCTTGAAAGAATCCTTCTGAACCTCCAGGAGAGTAGTAAGAGAAAATATTTATTTATTTATTTAGGTGCTGGGAATTGAACCTATTGCCTCATAGATGCTAGACAAGCTCTCCAACCTGGAACTATACTTCCCAGTCCTTTTAGTTATTTCTTAAATTTTCACATAGGGTATTTATTTATTTATTTATTTAGCGGAACTGGGGATTGAACTCAAGCCCCTGCGCTTGCCAGGCAGACTGGGCTTGAATTTGCAATTCTCCTGCCTCAGCCTCCTGGAGTGCTGGGATTACAGGCCTGCACCACCATGCCTGGCTGTACTTACTTATTTTTGAGAATGTCTCTGTGTTGCTGGTCTCCAACTCCTAGACTCAAGTAATCCTCCTCAGCTCACCCTCCAAAGTGCTACGACTCCAGTTTCCTACCAGGGCACCCAGCGGAATATGCCCATTTAAAACAGTATTTACCCAGCATAATTTCTACCTAAAACAGGCCCAGGTGGTATCAGCAAGTGGATTAAATTTTAAAGCAATACTTCTTCCAACAGAAAAACTACTGAGATCACATTAAAAACTTTCCAAGTATAAGAATCTATATTAAAGTACCAAACATCATAGCCCACAGCTATAATCTAGCACACTGAAGTTAAGGCAGGAGGATTGCCAGGAATTCAAGGCCTCCCTGGGCTACACAGTGAGTTCAAGGCTAGCCTGAACCACACGGTGAGACCTTGTCTCAAAAAAACAAAAAACAAAAAACAAAAACAAACAAAATCTATATTAAAGCACTGAAAATTATCTTTGATAGCTGGATTACAGTTAATATTTCTCCACTGAGCTTTCCCTTCTCTAGTTTGTGAGGAACAAAAGGAATCCAAGAAGATCACATGTATAGACTTTGTTTTTATTTATTTTTACAGTGCTCAGATTTAAGCTAGAGCCTCAAGCATGCTGGGTAAGTGCTCTGCCACTAAGCCAAACCTCCAATTTTTTAAAAAAACAACCTTCTAGAGATAGTACTGCATTTAGAAGTTTTGCTTCCAAGGGCTGAGGATGTGGCTCAGCTGTTGAGCACATGCCTTGCACACACAAGGCCCTGGGTTTGATTTCCAGTACTAGACACACACACACACACACACACACACACACAATTTTGCTTGTAAAACTAACATGTAGCTGCTTTATGGTGGCATATGTCTATAATCCCAATCTCAGGCTAAGGCAGGAATGTGATTTCAAGCTAGTTTAGGCTGGCTGTATCAAAAAGAAAGAAAGAAAGAAAGAAAGAAAGAAAGAAAGAAAGAAAGAAAGAAAGAAAGAAAGAAAGAAAAAAGAAAAGAAAAGAAAAAAAAATAAACCTAACATAAAAATAAAAGCTATTTCAACTAAAACGAAAATATATATTTTTAATTAAACTTTGGAAAATATAAAAATAAAAGCTAAATGTTTATATAAATCATTTCATAATAGAGAAATGCTGTATTTTTCAGACGGTGACTTTCCTAAAATACCAAATAGTTGATTTTACAAACCAGGCACAGTAGTGCTGTCTGTAATCTCAGCACTTAGAAGGTGAAGGCAGAAGGATAGAGAGTTTCAGTCTTCCTGGGCTCACAGTGAAGTACAGGCCTGCCTGGACTCCATAGTGAGAATCTGTCTGTTCACCACCACCACCACCACCACAGCCATTAGCTTTACACAGTATCTTTCTCCCAGCCACCTACTGCTCCTGACGGTCCCCATAAAATTCAGTGCATGACTCTGCCAAAGCACAGTGCACAGTCACCACAATTGTGTGCTGATCTCCCAAATCATGAACTTCATTCTTTAGGGAAAGATGTGTGTCCTACTCCTTTGCAGTAGTGGGGATTCAAACCAGGCCTTCACACTAAGCTACCCCTACAGCCTTCTATTTTCTATTGTAGTATTAAGTAAGTCACTGAGTGACTCAGGCTGGGCTCAAACTGATCCTCCTGCCTCAGCCTCCCAAAATGGTGGGATTATAGGCATGAGCCACTCTGCCTGGTTTTTCTTTTTCCTTTTCTTTTTCTTTTTTTTTTTTTTTAAAGGTCTAGGGCCCTTGACAAGCTAGTTCTACCATTAAACTAGATTCCTAGCCTTCTTTTTTAATCTCAACCTCTGTGCACAAAGAGAGCTAAATGTATTACATTAAATATAGTTACAACTTGCCATGCCCACATGGGCTCTAATTGATATCATTTATCTTAGATTCAACCTAACAAAATGGCTTGGAAATGGAATTTTCAAAATTACATACACATATAGGTATGTACCACCATGCCTGGCTAAAATGCACATTCCCCTTCTTGTTTTCTGAAATAAAGTTTCACTCTGTAGTTCAGGCTGGCCTTAATTCATAGTGATCCTCCTGCCTCAGCCTCCCCAGTGCTGGGATTATAGGCCTGTGCCACCACTCTGCTACCTACACGCACATTCCTAAATGTAATCTTTGACCTAGATTCCTAAGGAGAATATTGTAAAAGGTTATTTTGTGCAATGCAGTGAAATGACAGGCATGCGCCACCACACCCAGCCTCAATCAATATCTCAGCCTGCCCTGGGGGTGTGTGCTCTGGGGTGTATGTGCCCTGGGGGTGGGACCCACACAGCACACCAGGGATTGAAACCTGGTCTCTGTGTCTGACTAAGCAGGTGCTTTAATCCACTGAACTATCTGGCTGGCCCGTTTATCCTTTCTGAATCCTATTCCATACAGCAGAATTGAAGTATATAACAAAGGCAACCTTAGAAGTGCAGGAGAGCCCTAGAGCGTGGCCGTTGCACTCTTCACCCTTTGGGGTGCTTCTGGACCCCTCAGTGTGAGGGTGCAGCCACGTACCCTCATTGTATGGGTAGGCTGCAGCCACCCCTGGTGGCTCTGTGACTAAACACATTCTCAGCCTCTCCCCAGCCTCGCCTGCCAGGCTATCCTCTTGCTCTCCTCTCTCCTCTCTCTATAAAGATGGGTCCTCCCAAGCTAAGTTTCCAGCACCTATATCATTTTCCACCACTCAGGTAGAGTAAGCATCACCACACCCAAGCACAGGAGGAGGACACAGCTGGGTTGGACAAACCCCTGGGAGAGCCTTCAGGGACAGCCTATATGCCGTCTGCCAGCATTTGTTATGCCAATGGTGTATTGCCCAGCTGCCAGGCAAGGAAGATTGACAAGAGCAAGAGTAGGAAGAAGGTAAATGGGAAGAAAAAGAGGAAAACTTGGAAGGAGTGAAGGACACTACCCTCGGTGGCTGGGACAGCTCCATTTAAGAGGTTTTGTATTCGTGGAACCCTGATGAGGTCTTGTCCAGAACCAAGAGGATCCTGAACCCTGGCTTGGCAAGGATATAGAGGTTGCAACAGTGTACACTACAGATGGGTCCATGAGGAAAATCATGATGCAGACTTTTCTGAAGAAAATGCATACTAGTTAATATTATAAGGAACTATTTTGAAACAGTGGTCAACACTAACCATGCCATGATTATGGCTGCAGTGAATTCTTTCTTGCTAGCAAGTGATTCAACATAAAATTTTTAAAATCTACTTTGTGATCTAGCTTTTCTAGCTTTAGGGGCACTGAGAAGGGTGGCTATTACTATTGGACTTAAGGATTGGCCAGTGATTCTCAAGAATATAAAAGATAGGCAATTTTTTTCCTATACTCACAATTAATATCAGTAGGGTGTAGGGTTAATACAAGTTATAAAATCATATTTCCTATTGTAATGTTTCAGAGAAAAAAAAAGTTCAACTTTCAAAAATAGGAAATAAAGTTGGAAAAAATTTGAAAAAAAAAAACAAGAGATCTTGGAGTTATCACTAAAATAATGATAGATTTACATGACAGTCTATTCTTGGGTTGGGGATGTAGTGCATTTGTACAGCACTTGCTTAGTATGCCCAAGGCTCTGGGTTCAATCTCCAGCAGCCCCTACTGCCCCAAAGTCCCTACTGTGGGGGACTTTTATTTATTTATTTATTTATTTATTTATTTATTTGTGTGTGTGTGTGGCCAGCTCAGTCCACCAGGGGGCGGACTGGCTGGCATGTGGTGCTGGGGGATCGAACCGTGGTCCCTGTGCTTTGCCAAGCTTGTTCCAAGTAGGTGCCTTAGACCACTGAGCTGTGGGGGACTTTTGGCTAGATCTGTGCTGAGAATCAAGAGCATAGGGCACAGCAGAGTGATTTAAAATGTTTTCAGTCTGGCAAGAAAGTAAAGTTGTGGCTTGCCAAAAGGGGATAGAGGAAAAACTGGTCCCTGAAAAGAATACCAAGAAAAAGCCAAGCCTTTCAGAAGAGGACAGTAGAAAAGATGGCCTGAGGGCATCACAAGATCTAGCAGGACTCCACCCTTTGTAGCTTCAGAATTGCAAGTGTGAAAGGCTTTGCTTTGAGAAGAAAGCCCCAGAGTACCAGGATCCAGAATGGCAGTGGCCTAGGGAAGCTGTTCCTCAGGATTTGGTTCACAGGCAGCTGCCCTCTACAGCTAAAAGTAGGAACCCTGGCTACTGCTCCAGCTGTTGCCAGACCTCAGTATCATCTATGTGTTGTGCTTTGAGGTGTATGCAAAATGCAAAAGTCGTGGCGTCAGAAAGGCTTCCACCCAACTATTAGAAGGCGGCCTGGGAGGCCAGGAAGTGTGCCTCTGAGAGGGCAGTGCATGAAGCTGTGAGCCTGAAGCCAAATGTGCAGTGGAGATACCAGAAGTTTGGCGAAGCCAGGAACATAGATCATCTGAGAAAAACTGCAAGGAAGGAGCAGAGTTGGCCCCACAGGGAAGCAATGGGAGTGAGCTACAACCCCAGTGGCACTGGCAGTGCCATAGGGCTGAGGCCACCCAAACCCTTTGGAGTTCATCTCTTGCCACAGATTGGCTCAAATGCTGGATATGGAACTAAGGGACTTAACTCTGTCCTGCTGGATTTTGGTCTTTCTTTGTTCCCACTGCATTCTGTGACCCTCTTTGTAACTTTTGGAATGGAAATGTCTATCTTGCGCCACTCAATGTTCGAAGTGTTTAACTTTCTTTTCATTTGTACAGGGGCTTGCAGCTAAGAGTTTGCCTTACAACTCAAAGGAAAGTTGAACTTGGAGTTTTTAACAATGCCGAAACTGTTATGACATGGCAACTTGTAGAGATAGACTAAATGCCTTTCACGTAAAGGGATGTATCTGCGTCTTTGAGAGGAGCAAAATATCATGACTTATATCTCGATGTCCCTACAAAGCCTCACGTGGTCATAGGTGGGGCTTCTTTAGAGGTGGCTCGATCAAGGGTGTATGATGCTGATACAGTGCTACGCTACAATCAAGGGTGTGAGTGCTATCCACCCTCAGGGCAGGCAGCCTGGCTAAAATGCAAGGGACAGAAAGAAGGTTGCCATTTGTAGCTTGCTGCCTTCTGCCTGCCAGGAACTGCTTCTCTTTTGCTCTCTACCAAGCTACAGGCAACTATGAACTGAAATGTCTACAAACTCTAAGACAAATAAAGCTTTCTTCCAGGGCCAGAAATACAGCTTAGTGGCATAAAGGCCTGTCTGAAAAGTGCAAGGTCCTGAGTTCGATCCCTGGTACCAAAAAAAAAAAAAAACCAAAAAAAACCCTTTCTTCCTTTAACTTTCAGTCTTGGGGTTTTATCTCAGCAATGAATATATATTATCACATTTTTTAAAAATATTTATTTTATTACATTTATTTATTGTGTGTGTGTGTGGCCAGCTCAGCCCACCAGGGGGCGGGTCTGGCTGGCATGTGGTGCTGGGGATCGAACCGCGGTCCCTGTGCTTTGCCAAGCTTGTTTCAAGTAGGTGCTTTAGACCACTGAGCCATCTCTCCAGCCCTATTATCACATTTTTTAAAAGTATTTATATGATTCTTATAGACAAAAATTACCTGGTCTATATATTGTATATGTTTGAAATGCCAGGCTGAGATCTGCATTCCTAAGGATGTTCAGCAATGTGTCAGGAGTCTCTCTGAGCCACTGCTTACGGGTATTATTTTCATTGTACATTATTACAGAACCACCTAGTTGTGAAAAAAATAATAATTAGTGCTAAATAAGAAGAGTGTTGGCCTCTATCTTCTGGTTTGTATTCCAAAGTTTAATATATTTGACTTTCAACTAAAATCTCTTTTACTCGTCTACATAAGCAGCTCTCTGATGGGGAGCGCCAAACATTTTTCACAGAGTGACATAGAATCTTAGTATAGTAACTATTACAAAATATTGTATAAAAAGAATGCCATCCACTCTAACCATGGCTGGTGCTTTGTGTCCGTGGGTTTTGCATCACTGGATCAACTTCTTTAAAAAAAAAAGTTAAATCTACCATGTAGATCCTTTTTCATGTCATATAGTGGGACAGCCCCTTGCACAGTATTTACATTACATTTAGGTACATATTCTAAGTCATCTAGAAATTATTTAACATATCTAGGAGGAAAGTGGGTTATATGCAAATACTATGCTATTTTATACAATGGTCTTGAGCATGCATGGATCTGGAACCAGTCACCCTCAGAAACTGCAGAACAATGACCACACTGACCTCTGTCACCCTCTGTAGTTAAACTGCAGGTGAGGATGGAAGCATTTTCCAAAGCTGAAAGAGCTGCACTGGGGTCCTTTGTCTCCCATTGTCGCCTGTGAGGACTTGGTGAACTGGCTTTTCTGGAATGGGCTGACCAATTACCTGATTCTAAAATATAAAAGAGGAATGCCAAAGAATATTATTTCACCCATTCATTTATATCCAAATATGAACTAAAACAATGCAGAATATTTCTTTTCTCTTTCAAACTCAGATCTAGCAGCAGTGCCCTTTCAAGCCTAAGGAATAAAGGAAATGAAAATAAAAATCCAGAATGAAATGATCCAAAATGGTGAATCAATCTAAAGTAAACCATCAAAGGGACTGAAGTTTTTGAAAATATGCAGCTACACCATACACAGTGTAAAAGGATGAGGCCCCAAGAGAGCTTACAGACACAGAGTTTGGTATGCTTTGTATGGTAGAAGCAAGCAAATACTTTTCCTAATGGCTCTAACTCTAAGCATAGGAGATAAATACTACCATATCTTTTTGTGGTGCTGGGTTTGAACCCAGGGCCTTATATAACACAGTGCTGAATATGCATTCTATATATGCTCAGCCCCAATCTTTTTCTTTTTGAAGAATAAAATATACCCATAATATTAAACAAATTATAGGATGAGCAAATAAATACTGCCTATATACTTGCTGATGATACCCAAAACCTAGTAAATCGACAATTGTTACTCCCTTTATAGTCCCTGACTTTCCACGTAAGTAATGATTACAATCTGATCACTTACCTTCCTTCCCTCTGGTTACTCTCCTTGATGCATTCTCTGTTGAATTTGTAGTAGGGGTTTCAAAATCATTATGACTGCACTTTCTATTTTGCTTTTCCTGTTGCTTTAAAAAAGATATTCCAATATTGATTAAATAATACTTGAGTTGCTCCAAAAGAGTAAACAAGCAAAGGTACCTAATCTAATTATAAATAGAAATTAATAAATTAAAAAGTCGGGGCCGGGGAGATGGCTCAGTAGAATAAATGCTTCCCTGGCAAGCATAAGGGCCTGAGTTCAATCCCTGGTTCCAGAAAAAAAAAAAAAATTAGAAAGTCATAGAATCCCAAATACACGTACATGAATAGTCATAGATACATCATATTAATCATAACTATACACATGTATGTATATTATATGAATATTCATATATATGAATAGCCATTAATTATCAATTGTTAGAAATATGAATATATAAAGATGATACATAAAGATGATAGCTACTTGACAGGTTTGAGGAAAAGAATGAAAAATTTCAATATGATTTGTTGTACTGAGCTTGATATAATATCAAAATGAGATATTCTATAAGGTTGCTATTGTTGGCACTCAGTAAACAATACCCTAAACCATGGCACTTTGCATGCTGAACTCTGGAACCCTCAGCACCCACAGTTCTTAAAACACACCAGACGCACACAGTTCATACATGTACACACATAGTTTATAATTGTATAATTGATAATTATATAACGTACACTGATTATTACTCTCTTGTGGTGCTGGAGATTAGACTCAGGGCCTTGTACATGCTAGGTACATGCTCCACAAGAGAGCTACAATCCCAACTCTCTCATAAATTTAATTGTAAAGCACTTACCATTGCATTTGCTTCACTACCCAAAGCTGTCCTGATTCTGCTGGGGTCTACTTAAAAAGAAAGAAAAGGCAGGAAGAGAAAGCATAGGAAAATTAACCTTAGTAAGTTTCTTAGGTGAAAGCTTGAGAGATGAGTGAGGGTTTTAAAGTTAAAAAGCCAAAGGATTAGCCTGAATAAGGTTATAAGTTTTAATAGCCTTGTAGTCATATATCTGTTGTTGAAAGATGCCTTTTCTTTCTTTTTCTCTCTTTCTCTTGCTTGCTTGCTTTTCTTTGCTTTTTCTCCTGCATGTTTAGTACAGGGTTTACAGGGTCTCACTGCACAGACTGGACTCACAGTGATCCTTCTGTTTTCAGTTTCCCAAGCGCTGGGATTACAGGTGCATGCTACCATCCCCAGGTTCAGTCACTTCTCAGTGTGCCCCAGGGGGGGCAGGGCCGGCATAGCACTCCAGTGATTAAACCCTGGTCGCTGAATCTGCCTAAGCAGGTGCTTTAGTTTGCTGAGCTATCTGGCCGGCCCTGAAAGATGCCATTTCTGCTGTTTCATCTCTAATGTTAAAATCTGACATGGAAGAGACATATGGCTCTTATGTTAAGCCAACTCACTTAAGGTCAGAGGTAATATGCTCTGGGCTAGAGACAGAGCTCAGTGCCACAAGCACCTGCAAGTGCAAGGTCCTGAGTTCAACTCTTTGTAAAAAAAAAAAAAAAAGAGGTAATATGATGAAGGTCATCATTCCATCCAGGGCCTGCTCCTCAGTTTGCAGAGTCACTTTTCCTGACAGCTGCCATGGCAGAGTGAACAGGGATCCTTGCTAGGAAATGAGCTCATTCATTCACAAGTAAGGAGGCAGCAGTTGGGGAAGAACTCTGGCAATCAGTCCTTTTGGTAGGAAGAGCTCTTTCCCTCCTTTTCCTCTAGCAGAGCCCTGAAGTTCATGTCTTTCGCTCATTGAGTTATTTTATTTCTTTTACAGAGTCTCATTCTGCACTTAAAACAGACCGTGAACCCACTATGTAGCCCAGGCTGGCCTCGAACTATGGTGATCCTCCTGCTTCAGCCTGCCAAGTGCTAGGATTGAGGGGTGCGCCACCACACCTGCCTCCTTGGCCTTTTTTTTTTTTTTTTTTTTTTTTTTTTTTTTTTTTTTTTTTTTTTAATGTATTTGGTACAGGGTTTCACTACACAGCTTGGACTTGTAGTGATCCTCCTGTTTTCTGCCTCCCCAGTGCTAGGATTACAGAGTACCCAGGGGCAGGGCTGGAGCAGCATATGCTGCTGGGTATCGAAACCCAGTCCCTGCACTTGCCTAAACAGGCACTTAGTCCACTGAGCTATCTCACTGGCCCTCTCCTTTGACATTTTAAAAATGATTATTGAATATCTCTGATGACAGGTACTGTGACCACAGGTACTGTGACCACAGGAATGGACATGTTATACACAGTCACTGTCTTGGCATTGTGTTTCATTGTTCTGGTCTCACCATGTACAAAGTGGAGATGCCGCCAGGCACATGGTCACAATAGGGTGGCATTTCTCAAACTCCTTTATTCTTCTCTTTCAGGAAACTATAAAACTATGCTTTTCCAACCTACCTTGACACTTTCCTGTTCTGCTATTACCCTTGAATATGACCAAAAGCTACAAAACAGTACTAAAAGTCAAATTAATATTGAAGCAAACTGGTAAAACAAAGGTAAATGCAACCTCTTAAGGTATGCTGAAAAGGCTGGATTATGAGACTGAAGGGTTTGCATCTGTGATATTAAGAAATATTATGACATATGTATTCTGGGTTTTGTCCATGGTTCCTGGCTTTTCATGACAGAGCCCTTGAATTTCCTAAATGACTAGAACAACAAGTACATCTTTTGCTGAAGTATTTGGTCTCTTGTCCTTAGTTCCAGGAGCTGCTCTAGGGCAATGAAGGTGGAAGATGGTGAGGCTGCTTTAGGCTTCAATAGCAAAAGCTTCCCCGCTAGCCTCTTCCTGCCCCCTTTAGCCTCTCTTTTTCTTCCCCAGCTCAGCCATAGAGACTAGAAGTTCTCTTCCCCAAAGTGGGTCACAGAAACTAAAAATATACTCTGATCCTTCCCCCACCTTTCTGTCTTGACTATAAAGAAACTGCCTGTCCTTGTCTTACAGAAGATGACAGCATACCCATTTCCCAAAGGGTCCCACCCTACACAGAACTGAGCAGACAGGCCTGCCCGCTTTGCTCTCGGTCCACCAGTATGAGGTTGTACCCGCTTCTCTAATCACACCTCCACACAGCTGTCCATACCTCAGATATGCCTGTGTAAGAAGTGTCCAGAAAACCCCAGCAACATATGGTTGAAAGAGTTCTTGGGCAGCCAAACACTTGGAAGCTCACAGGAGGTGGACAAGAACTCTTTCTTGTGCCAGGAGCACAGCACACCACAACTCAGCAGGGGCAGAAACTCCCAATACTTGACTTTGCCCTTTATTTATATATTTTTTATCTTGCTGTTTATTTACATCCTTTAAAATATCTTTGTGGGGCTCAGTGGCACAAACCTGTAGTCTCAGCCACTCAAGAGCCTGAGGCAGGAAGAACTCAGGCTCAAGGTCAGGCTGGGCAACTCAAAAAGACCTGTCTTCAAATGAAAAACAAAAGGGGATGGACTATAATCCCAGCATTCTCAAAGCCTAAGGAAAGTTCAAACCCAGTGCGGGCAACTGAGTCACTGGGCAAGAAGATCCTGTGTCTCCTTGTCTCACTTCTTAAGACATGAAATCTTAAAAATGGATGTGGCTTAGCACAAAGACCTGGGTTGCAATCCCCAGTACCATCAAATAAACTAAATAACTAACTAATAAGGGCTGGGGATACAGCATAGTGGTATAGCATCCTTGGGTTTTAATCCCAGCATGATAAAAAAAAATAGCCTTTATAATAAACTGGTAAACCTAAGCATCCCCCCAAGTTCTGTGGGACAATCTAGCAAGTTCATCAAAGCCTAAAGGAGGGGCTACAGGAGTCCCAATTTTTAGCCAGTTGGTCTGAAGTCCCAGCGGCCCAGACTCACTGCCAGCATCTGAAGTGAGGGTGTTGCTGGGCTCTGCACGTTGACCTGTGAGCCCAGTGAGGCAGAAAGTGCCAGACTAGACCTGAAGCAGAGCAAGGTCAGCAAGGCTCTGCAGAATGACAGCCTGCTCACTGGTGGGGACAGCCCCACACCACGCATTTGGGGGGATGGAAGTGCTCTGTGTTGTGTTGGAATTAAGAATCAGAGAAACTGAGGTGTATTTTTCTCAGTATCCTTACAGCACCCCTCCAAAACAAAATTAAAAGTTAACTTTCAGCAAACAAAATAGTTTTTAAAATGTTTCTTCCATGATAAAGATCCCCATGGGGGCAACATGTCCCCCTAGTGGGGAGCTGTATTTCTTTACTTTTCTCTCTCAGTCTGCTCTTTCTACCATCTGTTAGCTTTCCTCAGTAGTCATGCAGAACTGGGCACACTGGTGCACCCCTGCAAGTCCAGCACTCAGGAGGCTGAGGCAGGAGGACTGTTTCCAGTTCAAGACCAGCCTGGGCTATAAAGTGAGCCAATGGCCAGCCTGAGCTGCATAGCAAGACCTTATTTCAAAAAAAAAAAAAAAAAAAAAAAAACAGGGGCCAGCCAAATAGCTCAGTGGACTAAAGCGCCTGCTTAGGCAGAGCGCAGTGGCAGGGATTCAATCCCTGGCGTGGCTGCCAGCCCTGCCCCCAGGACACAATGAGCGGCTACTGAGACTGGGCGTAGTGGTCATGCCTGTACTCCCAGTGCTTGGGAGGCTGAAAACAGGTGAATCACTACGAGTCTGATCTACAAAGTAAGACCCTGTACACCCTGAAGACCCTGTCCTAAAATTCATTTATAAAAAAAAAAAAAAAAAAAAAAAAGACATGCAAAGGAGTAAACATTGTTTTGAAAAGAATTCAGCCATGACAAGCTCCAAAGGGAGAATAAATTATATTTGATACTTGCTTAGGACAGCCTATTGATATAGGAAAATCTTAGGCAGCTATTATGTGGATGGTTCCTTTTTTGCTTTTCCTAGTGCTGAAGAGTGAACTCAGGGCCTGACAGGTGCTAGACAAGCACTACCTCTACAGTTTTCCTAACTTTTGGAAAGACTTTGGCCTTTACCTATTTTTTAATGGACACATTATTTTATTTTTTTGTGCAGGGTCTCACTACGCAGTTTGAACTCATAGTGATCCTCCTGTTTTCAGCCTCCCCAGCGCTGGGATTACAGGTGTGCACCTACCACACCCGGACTTGTTCACCAGCTCAGTGTGCTCAGGGGGGCAGGGCTGGCTCAGCATGTGGTGCGAGGGATCGAACCCCAGCCCCTGTGCTTGCCTAAGCAGGCACTGAGTCCGCTGGCCTTGCATTTTATTATTTTAGAGCAGGTTTGTTTTGGGGTTTTTTTCTGGAGACAAGGTCTTTCTATGTACTTCAGAGTGGCTTTGAGTTTACTCTGTCACCCAGGTAGGCCTTGAACTGTTTGCAGTCCTCCTGCTGGGCCTCCTGAGTGCTGGGATTACAGGCATGTACCACCACACCTAGCCCTAGAGCAGTTTTCGGTTCACAGCAAAACTGAGTGAAAAGGGGCTGGTGAGATGGCTCAGTAGTCTAAAGCACCCACTTAGAACAAGCTAAGCTAAGCAAAGCACAGGGACCATGGTTCAATCCCCCAGCACCACATGCCAGCCAGTCCCGCCCCTGGTGGGCTGAGCTGGCCACACACACACACACACACACACACACACACACACACAAAAACAACTTAGTGAAAAGTATATACACACACCCTGATTGCACACACGCACCACCTCCCTCACTGCCGACAGCCCAGACCATGTACAGCTCATGAGCCTACACTAACGCATCACTTCCAGCCCCAAAGTCACAGTGTACACACGAACAGGCTCTACTTCAGAAAAGCCTGCTTACAGGATTGAGCTCCTGAAATCTGTGGGTTTATTCTCCTGTAGGAAGTAGTATTGTCTTTCATGGCCATCTGCAAGTGAAGCCGCCTTTCTAACCATTAAGCTAGAATAAATAAGGTGCTAATTATGAAGCAAATAATAACCTTTCTATCACCAAATTATCCAAAGTAGGGTCTTCTGATTTCCAGAAAACTATAGTGTAAGAGTCAGTAGAAAACTATGTCTGAAATAAAAAGGAAAAATCTGACTTGAGGAATATCTCAGCTAATTATTTTTAACAACTAAAATGTATACATTTCTAAAAATAACACTTTAAAAACAACCTTTCCAAAGTTCTTACCTGTTTTCCTTGGTGCATTATTCTTATGTGATTTAGTTTCATCTAATACCTGTTCTCCATATTCTGTGATAATCTAAAATTAAGAATTAAAAATTTAAAGATGTGATACTTTTCTTTAGAATGTTGCCATAATGATTTTTAATCACCAACATTCTTCAGCATAAACATTTTTAAAGTTGAATAATAAAAATGACATTAGAAAGTACACATAATAGAGGTGGCATGTAACTCGGTGATAGGACGGTGATTACTGTGCCTCAGGTCCTGCGTTCAATCCCCAGCACAAAAAACAATTAAAAATTTTTTAAAATAAAAATGCACACCATTTTTTCTTTTTTCATTGTTACTACATAGTCCAGGCTGGCCTCGAACTCATGGCAATTCCTCTACCTCCACTTCCCTAGTGCTAGAATTACAGGCATGAACTAACACACCGGGCCAAAAGTACATAAAATTTATATAGAAAGACAAATATAGATATTTGTAGGTGTTAAGAAAAAGACCTGAGGGGCCGGGGAGATGGCTCAGTAGAATAAACGCTTCCCTGGCAAGCGAAAGGGCCTAAGTTCAATCCCCGGTTCCACCAAAGAAAAAAAAAAAAAAAAAAGAAAAGAAAAAGACCTGGAAGGCTATACATACTGTAACTGTTATTATTCCTGGAGAATAGCACAGTGGGAAGGGGAAAACATTTTTATTTTTTAATACACTTCTAATTAGTTGAATTTTCACAAACATGTATAATGAGTAAGTTGTGCTTAACAGATAACAAACCACTCCCCGCCCCCCCAACCCGCCTCACACCTCTGGGGATAAGCACTTCCGGACCACTGGCGCCAGGCAGCGCCTGGAGAGCAGGGTGGTGGCCGAAGGCCGCTGCGATGGGGTCCTCTTAAACATCTGCCTGACAAGATCCTGAAGTTCCCAGGAGTAAAGAGAGGGCAGTGGGCGGATGGACCCTTGACATATTTTGAGGATAAGAGTTTTCCAACTATTTGCCTGAAACTGAAAAATAAAAGTTGAATTTTAAAAGCAGATACAAGAAAAGAAATTGGAAATTAGGGAATACCACCTGAGTTGAATTCATGTTTATATAAATTATTTTAATTTTATAAATAAACCCACTATCTGGTTACTTCTTTTTCTAGAGGTGTCCTTAACATACAATTCTGCAAACTGGGTTTGGTGGCACAAGCCTATAATCCCAGAACTCTGGGAGGCTGAAGGATTGTGAGTTCAAACCCAGCCTGAGCCATTTAGGAATTCAGTAAGACCCCGTCTCAAGATGTAAAAAAAGGGGGAGGGGGCAGGGATGTAGCTCTGTGCAAAGGCCCTGGGTTAAATCCCAAGTACTGTGAAAGAGAGAGAAAAAAAAATAAGGACAGACAGAAGGAAGGAAGAAAGAAAAGAAAGCAAGAGGGAATGAGGGAGGGAGGGAGGGAAAGAGGGAGGGACGAAGGGATGTAACTTAGTGGTAAAGTACTCCCCCATCACATGAGCAGACCTAGGTCTAATTCCAGAACTGTACATCTACATGCACAAAGACCCACATCCACACACACACATCTGGAATCTTATAGTGGTTCAGCAAAAGGATAAACATGAAGGAAAATGTTCCCCATCTAGAGATGTTCTTCCCATCAGTGCTTGCTTGGGGACTTCACTAATCATAATCATGATATTCCAGATATATATCTTTATACTATGTTTAAAAACCAGAGCTTTAGAAAAAGTAAAAAATACTAATAGGTTCATCATATGTCTAATGTACTTGCCTTACCACTCCCCCGAAGCCTGACAACCTGCTCCACAGTGCCAACCCCTCTAGACTTGCCTTTTGTCATGTGTGGTGCTGGAGACTGAACCCAGGCCCTCGTAAATGTAAGGCCAAGTGTTCTACCACTCAATTATATGCCAACCCTTTCTATTTTATTTTCAGGCACTGTCTTACCATATTATGCAGGCTGGCCAACTCGTGATCCTCCTGCCTTGGCCTCCCAAATAGCTGGGACATAGGATATGCCATCATGCCTGGCTGTTTCAGGCTTCACATGTTTACTTTTATTTGTATGTGTCACTGGGGTTTCAAGGGCTCTGTGCATATAGGGTGCAAGCTCTCCTACTGATGAATTCCCAGTTCCTAGATACTAGAAGTCTAAAAATAACTTTATTTGTATAAGACAGTGGTTCCCAACTCACACTTCACATCACTCTCCCTGTTTTAGCAACACCAATGCCAAAGATATTTTCAGAGATTTTTAACTTAATTAAAAAGTGGGCCTACTGATCCCTGGTTCCA